AAGAGTATCCTAAGAAGCCCCTTCCAGGTCCATCACTAGGTCTTACTCACAGGCAACAACCCAATGGCTGCCTAGGCCGATCTGCCACTTTGTTTTTACTTCCTGCAGTGAAGTACAAAGGGTCGAATCAGGATGCATGGGCCAGGGTAACTAAAGAGCCAGGGGAGAACCCAAAGGCTCTGGTAGTGCTTGGTGTGCACAGGTGTGATGGATATTGACAGAGAGAGGGAGCGCGCTCACATGAGCATGGCAAGCACGGGAAGATGGAAGAAAATGGAGACTCAGACGAACGGGCTTTAAAAAGAATACATGAAAAACTATGATCACATTGATTTGTGCTTATTATCCTTGGCTCTCCTTTTTTTGTCTTTTTCTCACTGGTAGTGGTAGTGCAAAGAGGGGAGTCATTGCTTTTAGGGCCCAGAAGTAAAATAAGCAAATAGAATTTAGGATTGGGGAATTTGAGGAAGTCGCCCAAAACTGCACATAAAATGAATGAGATAATTATAGGCTGCTGATTTTTAAATGTAGCTTATTAAATTGACTCTCCTTTAACAGGCGTTGGAGACTGTCAGGATAGGGTGTGTCCTATTGTAGATATTTTCCTAGAGCTGTTTCCACCCCTTGCCCTTGTATCTGATTTTATGTACTTCAAAATGCCATTAGTTCACTCCAGTGACTTTAGTTCTATTGACAATGTTAATTCTCTGCCTGTACAAACCAAAGGCTACTCGGGATAAGCTGATTTTTGTTTATTATCTGACAAGACTCGAGATTACACTAAACTGATTTTGGTATGTCTCCCTTCAACCTGACCATATTGGACTTCTCTCAGCTTAACCATCAGAGTTGAATGCCTTCTTGTATTATATTTATACCCGAAATAAAAGTCATGTATAATTTAAAATTAGCTACAGTAGTTTGCAAAAGGATGCATGTAATTGTGCAGGTTTAAACTATTAGTAAATTGAAAGGTTGGTGTCAGTGATCACACACGTACTTTAGCTAAAGCTGGTTCCAAGTGCAAGTCTAAAGGTCTGCTTCTCTTCTACCATATGATTAATTTGTTTGTGCCAGAGTTACTGATGCTTTGTGACCAGAATCATGTCAGGCAGGTCTCAGCAGGTCTGAATCAATATGGTCCTGCGTTGCCACTGCATCATAATTTTAATTGTCCCTTTCTATTACACTTAGCAATCAGATAGCAGGCAAGACTGAAATAACAAGAATAAACTTCTAAAGAGAGAGAAAGGTCCATTTTACAAAATTATAGTGGGAAGAAATCATACTGATTGGAATCTACTTCTGTATTTATGTGCATGTGTATGTTGCTAGACATTCATTTTTTACATTTAATAGTACCAGAACACAGCCACTTATGAAAAAGCCAAGGCCCACACCATCCTGATGTCTTTTGAGAGAGCTGGGACTCTTGCCCAGGACCATCTGAAGTGGGAACAAAACCAAGATGATCATAAAATGACACTCTATGCACTGATTCTAGCCTACCATATTGAACATTTCAGTCTTGCCAGAAATAAAATCCTTTTGTGATGAATCCTTATCGGTCACAATTTACCTTACTTTTCTGACACCTTTTATTTTGATTTTTGTCTTTCCTTAACTAGTCCTTCCCCTCTGAAGGTCTTTTGGTCAATACAGTCTGGCCTTCCATCTGCTCCTGAGTTCCACAGAAGACAACTATCATAATAGCACGTGACTTAACCGATCCACGGTAATGGGCCACACCTCCATAGAGGGGTACACCGAGCAGGCAGCCCCTGCTGTTAGAAGGCAGGTTTTCAGAACTGTGTGAACACTTTTAATATATTACTATTCCTCTGGGAACCAGCTACTTCTCTTCCCACTTCAGAAAACACATAATGGGACTTTGTGTTTCAATTTAACATCCCCTGAAAACGGAAATTTTTCCCCTTATAAGAAAAAAAATAGAGTAAAGAGGGAGACGAAAGGCAAGAGAGAAATGAATTAGGCAGTCTCCAAAGCACACTGGCTCAACTGGGAAACTGCGACCAAAGCAAGCTCCATAATAGCATAATGACCTTTAATGAGTGTCTTGGGAAACAATACAGCCCTAGCATAAAAGACAAAGGGCAAAACTCATCATGGCTCTGCTGACACTAATTCAAAATGATTTTCAGAACAACTAAAGAATGTAAGAGAAGTAATCTGATCCGCCCATCTGACCTCACTTTGATTCAAGGGCCCTTCTCCTGCCATTTCTAATTGTCAAACCCTCTACATTTCACATCTGTTCATATTTAATGAAAAGCCCACTCTCACCGCTGCTCTTGAGTCAACTTGCTCTGTCAAATGGGCACCACCCAACTCCACCACCAGCGAGGGATGCCTGGGGATTGCTATTGGAGCACTGCCAGTGGAATTTCACGTAGAGACAGACATTTTTTTAATTGGAGAAGAAGGGCTTATGCGGGCCCAAGAAGGGGCTCAAATTGGAATGGATTTTTCTAACTTATTATTAATGGTCAAAGGTGAGTGGTCTCACACAGGGATGGATGAAATCTGCTTTTGTTTGATGGAGTGATGACGGCAGGATGACTGATGAAACGGAGAAGGCAAACCGCCCCCTGAGCTGTCAGTACCAGTTAAGGCTCCAACATGCAGCCCAAAGCTCCACGTGTTCCCTGGTGGGGGCTGATTTTGGAGGCACAGGAGGGACAACATGCCACTCACAGAATGTTTCTTAGAGAATGGGACAATCCCACCCCAAGATTTTCTTCTCCCTGGTCTCCATCAATGGTTGGATTAAATTGCACAGCTGAGAAATCCCTCTAATTAAGATTTCTCTTGGATATAATGGAAATTATACACACTGGGCACCATGGGGTCTACGTGGGGGACACAGAGTTTGCTGTGATTGGCATTGTTGGCCAGCGCCAGGACATGACCAAGAGGCCCTAGCTCAGAGCCACAGTGGCTCCTTTCTCTTCTCCACTGAATCTAGGCTAAGGTTTTAGAGCCTTATGATTATTTGAGAACAGAAGTCGTGCATTAGGCAGAAGGGTAAGCCAGCGGGGCTTGCGGTTACTTTCACCACCATCAGTCAAAGAGATGTGACCAATTCATGCCACCTCAGGCCCTCCTCTGCTCTTCCTCCCCAGCACCTATCTTTGAACGTGGTATCTTGCCGCACATCGTAGACAGACAAGTTCTCTGTGCAGCTGTGCCCTAGCTTATCTCTGTACTGGCATAGGAACTACAGAGAACTCTTCAGGGGGAAATAAAGTGATAAGGATTCATATGGCAGCATCTAAGGATTTTAACAGAAATCTTTCCAAGATTTTAGGCCCATGGGGCAGTCCACACTCCCTCTCAATGCAACCTCCATTAGGTATCACTTTGAAGTGAATCCTGTCCCTTGGCACTGCTCTGGAGCAGCAGGAAATCGTGAATCAGAGAGGATGACTCTCTGGTCCTAGATGAAAGTTTTCCAAATGCCTCCAATACGGCTCGATGCACAGATCATGCTTTGCACTTGAACTTCGGGCCCAAACATAAGCACCTGGCATGGCACACAGTGAAGTCCCGGTTCCTTGAGCCCCAGAGGCCTCATGGATCCCTGCAACACAGCCGCACTCCGCTGGGACCAGCCTCAACACTGGCACAGAGGAGTCAAGCCAGTTCATTTTCCATGGGAATAAATGCTTAAGAGTTCAGTGATCTTCTTCCTCTTGTTGTCAGTGTACACTTACCCCTGCTGGGGAAAGTATAGCTCAACGAGCTCTGAGCACTTGGAAGGCGAGAGGACAGGGAGCAAGAGGTTAGCAATAAATGTGTTGGGTGCTTTAAAGAGGAAGGGAGGAAGTGCAGAAACGAGAAGCATCTCCTACCTTCTATGCTACCAAAACATGAAAACAAAGTTAGTTATACTTCAAGTAAAGTCCTCCAGTGGAACCACAGCCCCTTTGGCACTTGGACCAAGACCCACGGTCCCAGGGTCTCAAACTGGAGCTTTCAGGAACTTCACTTATGAACCATATCAGAAAAACAGCAAAGTCCATGGTGAAGGCAAGGATAAGGGAGGTCTCAGGAAACTGACACATCTCAACCTTGCCAGCTACCAGCTGCATAACCTTGAGAGGTTCTTTAACATCTCTGAGCTTGTGGATGACAAAGAAGACTGACATCAGAGGCCTGTGCTATGGACTCGGGGAAATCACAGAGGTTTCTGACTTAAATTTTTTGTTGGCATTTGGAATCACAATTGCTACAAGATACCTTAGTTAAACAGGGGCTATACTATTGGAAAAATAAAATATATTAATGGAATAGTCCTTCAAAATAGTCATCTTTCTGAGAAAAAGCTCTGGAATCCACTAGCCCAATGCAGGCTGACAGACATACAATACTCTTTTCCAGAACAAAAGACAAAATCTGGCACGGGAGGAATGAGGCACAGGTTAGAGAGACACCGTAAAAAGAAAAAAAAATACATACATACATATATATATGTCTCCATCTGCATCAAAACTGTTATATTTTGGAAGCTATCTAAGAAACTATCTAAGCTCACTAAAAGCAATTTAATTCTAGAGCTGGCTTGTTCTCGCTACACCCTTTCCTTCCTCCCTTTGATACAATTCAATTTACAGCCATTTCAAAAATATTAAGATGTACACTTCCGCATATCTCTGTATTAATACAGTAGGTGATATGCTGTCACTTTAATTTCCATTTACCTTTATTTAAAGGAGAGAGAGGAAAGATATCGCCAGACTGTAATATCACAGTCCTGCACGCTATTACGAGAAGCACAAGTTAAGAAAATCAGGAGGGAGGCCTTCCTCAGCACGTACAGAGAGACACAGGCAGCTGGGGCAACATGTCACCACACAGGAGTTCACACTGGGAAGAAGACATCAGCCCGACTGACTCAGAACCACAGGGCACAGCACAAGACAGGGATGATACCACAGACAGCACAAACATGGAACTACATGTGTTGAGGTTAAACTTACAGGCACGGAAACTGGTGGAGCAATCATTAACAGAGACAGAAGAAAGTGGGAAGGCTCTCTCAAGGGTGTCCACGTTACCACGCACACGGCCTGACATGCACGAGCAGTCACGCTCAGAACGTCCGCAATCAAAACAACATGCTCGTCTCATTCTCTTGTAGATGGACATCTTGGCTATAACCGTGTGGTTGGATGGGAGGAGAGGAAGAGCGGCAATTAATGGCAAGGTCACACACAGCAAGGCAGCTGGAAGGAAGCTGAAGGGATTTAACACAGGTCTTAGTTCACTTTAACAGTCTTGACCCAGAAAAAAATGCAGAGTGATTGTTGGTAACAGTTTGGTTGTACATCAAAAAAGCAGCGAAAATATAAATTGCCTTTATCGTCCCCCAAGGCTGTTGCACATGATTTTTCTCCCCTAGGTAAAGCGGTGACCACAGGAAAAGGGCATGGCTGAATACACTCAGGTTCTCAGATGGGAAGAAGAGCAAATTATCGACAGCAAAAAACGTAACCAACACTTTTCCCCAGTACGATTAATACAGGAGGACAAAATACACACACTGCCAATCAATTAAATTAGTTGCTTATTTGGTATAATAAATGGTTTTTGCAAGAGGCAAAAATATCTAATATGTAGGCTTTCTAATTTCCATCCATTTCTGGGCATTAGGCAGAGGCTGGGATAAGCTTTCATCAAATTAGATGTGAAACGATTACGTGTTAATATAGAATCTGAGGACGCCTTTGCTGAACTTCCCGAGAGTGAGTTTACATGATGGCTACAGGAATTTAAATTTGCTCTTGACAGAACAAATATCCAAATCTGTCCATATAAGAAATGCAGCTACTCAAGACTAATGCTGCAGATTTGACATTAAAGGCAGTTCACAAATAAGAAATCACCAAAAGCATACGAGATGTTGCTCTATTGGAATGCATTTAGCTACTCATGGGTGTATTTTCTGCTTAAAGCTGAGAGGATCTGAAAATCGCATCTGCCTTTCTCTCCCCACCAAATAGAAATTCAGGAAGCAATCAGGCTATTGGTTAATCATATTCTTTTTTTTTTTTCCTTGTACAGAAAATATTTGCCAAAATCGATTAAAACTGACAAAACATGAAATAAAAGAATAGGTTCCGTGTGAAATATCTTAATGCAATTTGCATGCAGCATTGATAGCTCTTCTCAAGCTGGTATGGTAGGTTCTGCACTGCCTGGGGATCCAAACTGAGTGGTAACCTATAAAAGTTGTTGGAAGTCAGCATCGTAGTTTCCAATGCGCTTCACCTTTGCCTTTCAAGCCAATTTATATTTCAGTACAAGAGAAGGTTTTTGTACCTCACTTTGATGCTACAACAGGCAAACATGTTTGCTTATCACTTAGCATGAACTGGCCTGCTTCTCTCACAAGGTAGGAGAAGAATTCACATTTATTCTAAGCATTACTGCCAAATAGTAAACCTAAACTGAGGAGGTGTTATTCCCTGCATCCACACCTTCCACTTTGAAAGTCATTTCCGCCCCCCCCCCTTTCTTTTTCTTTGTAGAGAATGGTTGCACTCTTATTTTAAAATATGGCTTGTGGTTTTGCCCTCTTTGAATGTTACAGTCACCAGGAAGAGGGGTTTAAATCTCTCAAATGGGTCAAGTCCTGTTCTAAGACCTTTATGACTTGCCATACAGTATATTTGTCAAGCAAGGGTAACGTTATGATTGTGAAGAACAGGCACTGGGGGAGATGAATGAGAGATCTCTTCAGCAGCAACTCCATTCTTGTAAACTTGGCTCACATTTTTAGTGACATGTTCTTTTAGTGTCCTCGCTAGTCTGTTGTTCAGATCATCATGCAGCCCCAGCCCTGTTCAATGGTGGTATATCATTCCTTTGAGCTTTAGCTTTTACCAAAAAAAAAAAAAAAAAAATTTCCACTATAGCATTTGAATCAGAGGAATTTAGAAGGCATGGTGTGAATGCCCAGACATCCCAAACAAACAGCAATGGCTGAAGTCAAGAAAGGGAAAAATGTCTTCAATTAAAGACATGAACATAAATTTATCTTAAATGCATCCGGATCTGGCATACAATCTGCAGACATTCCCTTGTTTTCTCCTTCTTATTTCTTTTACTGGAAATATTGATTTGTTATTTACACAGAAGAGGAAAACAAGGATGATTTTTTGTTTCATCATAGATAAATCGTTTTGAAAAACAATTTTTTTAATCAAATGCTGTAGCAGAAGAGAAGCCCATCAAACTCTGGAATGCTATGCTTCTCATTAGCAACAGTCCCTGGTTTTCATTTCCATACTGCCATTTTGGGTTTATATACAATAATAGAATCTGACACATTTACGGGGAAAGAAAGTTCTTATAAATATACCATCTTTAAGGATAAGGGGAAGGATGATGGAGATGAAATAACTTTTGAAACTATTTGTTCAGAGGCAAATGGATCAGAATGGGTGATGTAAACCTCCTACTTGATATGAGTTCAGGAGGAAACACAGCGACAAACCAGTGGCTCTCAGGGACTGTTTGCAACTGTTATTGTTAGCCGTTCTGGTGACCATGCATTGTTCTAAAATTTCTTATTGTTAGCATGCAGGAACAGGCTGAAACTGGTAATCGAAGCAGCAAAAAACCATTTGCTATAAGAAGATTAACTGTTAATTATAAGCAGTCACATTCCAAAGCAGCATATGCATAAAAAAGAAAACATGCTATTACTTGTCATTCCTTCCCAATCATTTTTACACTCACACCAAATGCAAAATAGAAATCTCAAAAGACAAACAAATACCACCACCACCACCACCACACACACACACAAAGAAAAAAAAATCAGCAGGAACGATCAATGAGAGGCTCAAAGACAAGACAGAAACAGTTAAAAACTATTGAGCCCCACATGTTGACAAACCTTCAGGAATCAGAATGTCTAGATCAAGGTGCCACCAACTGGGAAGGTGGCTTTTTTTCGCTACTGCTGGCATAGTCCATTTCCATTGACTCCCTGTCAGGTGTCTTCACCTAGAGACTTCTGGGTGCACTTTCTTAAAGGTAAGACCTGGTGGAGCGATTCATCAGGCTTGAAGGATATGAGTACTGGCCAGGAAGAACTCTCCTCTGGGCCATTATTCAAATCATGAACAAGCTCTTTAACTAAAAGCTGATGAGGAGTTGACTCCCTGGTGGTAGATGTTCCAGAAGAATTGAACACTGTCTGTGTAAAATTATACTCTCAAGTTGTAAAATTAAATTATATCAAAGTTAAGTCGTGGACCTCCTAATTTGGAAATTACCACCCCTCATCTCTCTCAACTCTCTCTGGCTTCCTGATCCTTCAATTTTGTTTTAGTGAATCAGGATATTCAGAACCACTGGTGTTTTGTTTCCATTTCTCAGTGGTTGTTTCCTTTTCTAGACCTAATTTAGGTTAGAACGTTAATTTTAGATACGAAGAGTTCCACTTTAAATTCCCAAGGTTAGGTCTCAAAGTGCAACTTTGAAAGTTTCAGATTTATTAAAACAGAAGTAAATTTCTTATCTACTCCCTGGCCACACAAAGCGTCCTCTCTCCTTTGGTGTTTGCCAATTTTCTTTCTTACATAGTCACCCATTGTTCCCTTACCAAATCCCAATTCTCAGACAACGTTTTCCCCGGGATGTCAATGGTAATGCAAAGTAGATCTATGAGGACATCTAGTGGATCGATGTGGAAGAGCAGCTAGTTCACGGGCAATTGGAACTAGCCTTTCTCCAAAAGGAGCAGAAAGAGGACCCTGCTGTCTCTGAGAATTGAAATATGTGCAGTGTCATTTCAATTCAATGGCTTCTCACGATCCACAGCAGATGATTAGGGGTAGGGGGAATGAAAGGGTGAGAGGTCCTAGGAGATGAGCCTAGGGTCTGCAGCCACAGCTGGCACAGTAGGACTATTTCGGTGGCCGCTGACTGGGTCTCCTTTTTAAAGCCCTGCTGCAGCTTCCTGAGACTGGGAGCAGACAAGAGTGTGTCTCTGGCAAGTGTGAACACCGAAGCTACTTGTCATCCCATCTTAGGGCTCTTGAAACTTCATGCTCAATTAATTGCCCCGATAGGCCAACTTCACTCTAGGAAAGCAGAAATACAAGGCTCTAGGGACTCAGTTTACTGTGTGGTCCACTTCATAAAGTTCTTGTTATTGGGCCAGGGCCATGGATTCTATGAGGTTATGTGGTTGCTAAGAATTTGACCCTGGGTCTCATCTTCCTCCGAAGACCTAGGTCCTAGCAGTTTCACAATTTGAGAAAAAGTTTTTATGTGCTTTTCTTCACCACGGTGAAGTGGATATTCAACCAATATTTCCATTATAACTTCCTAGTACTATTTAGAGACAAAATAAAAGTATTTCCCTAATGGACATCATCAAAACTATCTGTTTACTCTTGAGGGTTTAAAACAAAAAGGCTTCTCAGAAGTGTTCTTGGACAACTTTTCCTCTATTCTGAAAGGCCGTGATCATGAGATCAGAAACCTGTTGGAAAGTGGCTGGTGAAGACGCAACTCAGTTACTGCTCTTTCCTTAAGTCAAATGGATAATCAGCTGTCAAACTCAGGTTCTCTGCTGGCTGGCCTTTCTGAGCCAAGCCTGGAATGGAAGGAAGAATTGGATTCCATCCTATCCTCAGCACCATCTGCCTCCTGCATCAGCGACCAAATTGTCAGTCAATTTCCAATTGCAGAATCTTAATTTCCAGGGTGGATTGGAAGGGGCAGAAAAAAGCAGTACTGGACTGAGGGGCCCAAGTGGAGTTTTCCAACTGCTGGGGAAAAATATTTTAGATTTCAAGTGAAGCAAATTCAAGGGAAGACTGGGATGGAAGAAAAAAACATCTGCCATTCAATCAATAGATACTTCTCAGGTCACAACCTCACTTTTAAAATCAGTCAAATGAAGGAGGAATTATTTCCAAGCATAAACCCTGGAGCTACTCTTCATGGGCTCTGCAGCAACTAACATTACTAATACAAATATCCACAGAAGAAAAAGTCCACCAGGATTTAAGGTGAGGCCTTTGAAGTGGCACTGGGAATCAGAGAATATTCTTTCAAGTCCTATAAATGAGAAATGATATCTTCACTTAGCAAAATTCCTCCCATTACCTTCTGGAGTAAGAAGAAGGGTCTTCCAGGTGGTTTTCCAAAAACAGAAAGAGGAGAAAGAAAAAGCTAGTTAATGTTGGCAGCACAGAGCACACCAAGCTAGTTGATTCTGCCCCTAACGACCATATTGTGGCTGAGGAAGGCAGAAGTATTTGGCACTAGAGTTGTTGGTTGATTGACATCACATTTTCTCTCCAATTCTGAAGGAGCTTTCAATTTAGTATGCAACTCTGCAGGTATGAAAGAGGGCCATGCCCTCAAGCCATGGTTAAAGGGTTCTGTCGATGAAAAAAGCCACAGAGTCGATTTTGGCAAGATTGTGCATTGAATTGAAGAAGGTCATTGTTGTGTTTTGTTTTTAAAGTGAGCAATCTATACCCTCCAAACACTGATGACTAACAAAAATCAGATGATCAACTTGCCTCTTTTGCTGCAAAGGAATGAGAGGACCGAATTTGAAACATCTTCTCCAAATTCCAGAGCCATTGGACTGAACTGTTCCACAGATTGGATCTCCTTTTCAGTAGAGCCTTACAAACACGAGTAAAGACCCAAAGCTCAACGCTGGCCTTAAAAGCTCCTCCTCAATGGCCACATCTTGTTGAGTAAAAGGACATCCTATTCCTTGAGTAAGCTAGAGGTTCAGACACTTGCATTGACTTGTTCAGACTTATGCATAGCTCATTGCTGAAATGGAATGTTCTCCTCCAGTCAGTTTTTCTGCCTTAAACAGGTAAACAGATCTTCCAAGATGTCTGACTAACACTCATAAAGCAACTGGGTGTGTCCTACTGAGTACTGACTAAAAGAAAAACTTCATTGTAAAGCTAGGAAACTTCGTAGACTGCAGAAAATAATTACCACTGTGCAAATACTTGTCTCCAGTAAAACAATTGGGATACTTACAGTCCCAAAGTTGAGTAACCAATTAATTATCTAGTGAGCACTTCTCGTACGGAGAGGCATATACTGCAATAAATACATCACACTATGGAATATCTCTACTCTTATATGTAAAAATATGAATTTTTACATATAAGAATGTACATATATTCTGATACATCATGGTACATATTGTGTGTGTGTGTGTGTGTATATATATATATATCACAACATGGGAATATATATGTGGCATATGTGTTTCCTTTAGGAGAGGAATTGAAGCTCAATAGCAAAGGAGACCAAGTACAATTTATCAAAAGCAAGCATGACAATTACCCCAGCTGATGAAGCATCTACAGCTATAGTGGTAATTATTTCAGCCTAATCAGAGTCCCTTAAAAGTCCTGAGACAAGGTCTTCAAGAGAAACACACTGTTGTCAAGGTCTTATTTTCAAATGGAAAAATAAGACAGTGCCCGAAGCTGGCCAGAGCCTGGGGACTGCGGTGGGTGGATGGAGAGCAGGCTCCCTGTGGACTCTCCGGCTCCAGACTACTCTGTAGACTGCGTTGGGGGATGAAGGAGTTGGGGCATGATGTCACTGCTACATGCAACATAAATACCAAAAGTAAAAAGGAAACTACAACTGTACAGAAAATTAAAAGAGTATCTCTTCTAGAGAAAGACAGGGGGAACTGGACTCCGGGCTGCTGGGAACCCGTTTTACTCACAATATATCACTACCAGTGTGCAGTTAAAATAGAGTAGGGGCCGTATTCCAAGGCAGCAAAGAGAAAAAAAATAAATCAAAGATATGTCAATGATTTGCAGTCAAAGAAAATTCCTTCAAACACATCAAACTAGACATTACTTGTCCCCCAGGAGTCCACACTTTGGCAAACTTTTAGAGGCTGGGGGAAGAAATATAAATCATTAGACAATGTTTGTTACACAGAAAAAGAAAATGGGTAAATAGTAGACCCTGAGAACTTGCTCCTCGGCCAGACAGCTGAATTTGACTCTTTTCCTTGATAGAGAGCTATGAAGAAATGGAAAGAAATGCAAACGTTAAACTATACTATCACAGGATTTCCAGAAATGGAATGTCCGCACCTGATATTTCTCCAGATGAGATGACGTGAAATGTTGAAGGTTACTGAATGAAAGTGAATGAGGAGGTAGGGGTGGAGGTGAAAGGGGAAGACTGGGTTGGGGAAGGAGGGTTAGGAAGCTATGGGTAAGGGCCAGCGACTGTCATGGGCTCTGCCCTCAAGGGATCTACCATTCCAGGGTGAATTATTAATACCCGGACTAACACGTTTGGACAGATGAGTATGTGGGTCAGCTGTCTTCTCCAACTTAGACTGGGAACCAAGCAATGTCTGTTCAAAGGCATGGGGGTCCCCGCAGTGTGTTATTAATAATCCTAGTTTCTTCTAATTAAAGTTCTTTGCAACTAAAACATCTTCTCCAATTTCCTCACTTGCCTGACCTACATGGGGAGGTTTATTTTTAATAATTCATTTTATTCTAACCACCCCCTCACCTCATACACACATCTGCATCCTGCCCTCTGTTCTATGGCCTTTCAATTAGTAGGAACAATATTCGGACAATTCTGATTGTTACATAGCCAAAGGCCTTTGTGAAATGAAGAAGCTGAGGTTGGGGGAGGAGGCACGCAGATGTACAGAGAAGGAAGTGAGGCCCTTGTTGCACTGGCTTGGCTTTGTAGAGGCAGGCCTTTTGCAGCAATTGGTGCAGTGTGTAATGGGAGATTATATACCTCACTGGCTCCACCAACTTTAAAGGAAATGAAGAGAATAAAATTATTTCAAACAATTATGTGCCTCTCTCTCCAGGATGAAGCTAAAGCCTGCTGCTGTTTATTTGTCTGGAACCAAGGTGGAAAAATAACTTAGAGGCCAAATCCTTATTTCTTATTTCTAGGGACAGTTTAGTCTGCTGTGTTCCACTATGGCATCCTATGAGGGACATTCCAATGTCAGAGCAAGAGTCAGGGAAGTTCTCACTTCATCCTTCCACTTCCACTCCTTCCTCCAGAGAATGCTCTCCATCTGGACACCAGGGACATCTTTTAAACTAAGAACTAATGATGACATTTCCTCACTTAAAATCTTCCAATGACTTCCTAATAAAAGACTAAAACCCCCACTTCTTACCACGGCCCCTCCCTCCCTCTCTAATCTCATCTCATACTATTATCTCCCCAGTGCCATTGGTCTTTCTTCTATCCTTCAAACACCACAAACTCATTCCTGCCTCCTGACCTTGACCTTTGCTCTTCTCTTTATCTGGATTGGGTCTTGACCTCAACATCAGCCCTGACTGAGGCCTTCCTGACCTTCCAAGCTATAAAGTAGCGCCACTGCAGTATTCCTCAACCCTCAGACAGTCTCTTCTCTCCTCTTAGCACTGGCTATCTCTGAATTTATTTATTTGCAAGATCATGGTTTGTCTCCATTCACCAGAGTAAAAGATTCAGGAGGGCAGGGAATTTACCTTTTTCACCACTCCATCCCTGGAACCAAAAATAGCACCTCATTCAAAGAAGATACTCAAAAATATGTGAATGGCTAATCAATACTTGAATCACAGTCTTGCTATTTCCTTGATACTCTGTGGGACGAGGGTCTGGCAAATATCCTGTCAGGGATTATTGGCCTCACTTTCCTCCCTTTCTCAACTCCTCACTACAAGCGTTCCTTACAGAATTGTTCACCTCTTGTATTTGTTGTTCTCTCTTATTTGCTTCAACCCTCAGACGGTTGTGCTCCTTCTGATTGAAATGATTCAGGAGATGTCTGGTCAACTCAGCCATGCTGCTGTGTCCACAACCAACTGAGCATGGCTAGGATGGACTGCCTGGTAAAGACGGCCTTTGGATTCATGGGGTCTGTGGGGGTTGAATGGGCAGTGAGGTTCGTTCTAGGCCTTGTTCTCTCTTACATGCTCTTCTTGGTAGGTTTTCAGAATCAGGGAATTCTTAGGTCCCAAGAAATTAGAGGCTCTTGTTTTGAAATATCAATAAATACTCATCTTTGTAAGAGTCTGGGGGAAGGGGACCAGCTGTATTAAGTCAGTGGAAACAGGGGGAGGAAACCCATGGGCCTAAGCTGCCCCATCCTGAGGGGATTTCTGCAGAAACTTCTCTAGACCAAGAGTGCACCCCAAGGGAATTTTCCCCATGGATTGTATGCTCCAGCAGAGCGATATTTATAGATGACTGGTTCTACATTTTCTGTACCCCCTCTAGGAGTACAATGAAAAACGTCCTTCCTTCAGTGGCATACCTCAGAAATGGTGCTCTTCTGTCTGGCTTCTGCTTGTGAACCAGGATTTTTATGGGGTCATCTTTCATAATTGTTCTTACTCATCAGACCCAAGACTGCCCATCTTTCCTTTCCCTTCTGCAAAAAACTGTTAGAGCACCCAGAGAATCAATAGAGGCCTTCAGGTGTGCCCAAATCCCTGTATGTTGTCTGTGTGACTGTCAGCAATCTCATCCTCTCAAACTTGGAAGCTTCGTTTCCTCTTTTTGTAAAATGGGATTAATAACACCCCTGCCAATTACATGGGGTTAGGGTGAGAATCAAAGCAATGATTGTGAGGAGCTTTTAAAACACTAACTCACCATAGGAAGGATGGCATCTTTTTTGTTGTTGTTGTTGTTGTTTTTCGAGGGTTGAGAACAATTTCTATTAGGCAATACAGCATAATTACTGCAAAAGGCACAACCTTCTCAAAGCAAAGGCCACTTAAGTCATGGTGTCTCAGGAGCTCACAATTCCACGTTCTAGACTCACTATATCTTTCTCAAGAGGCCCCAGTGGCAAACAGCTTTAGAAGGGTCTTGAGACAGAATATGCCAGAAACAACTGAGCCCAGTCTAGTCTGCCCCAAAGAGCAACGGTGCTTGAGCTCGACCTTTGGGATGATAGCAATTGAAGCCCTTTGACAATGGAAAGTTTTTTCTTGGGGGCAGTCTGAAGGCATCACAGTTGCAAATTCTGGCCTGTGGTATTAAAACTGGCAGGAATTCCAAATGGAAAGAGACAACTTCCATTTTGGAGACCAAGTCCTCAGATTTAGTTTCTCTCTCAACCCCATATACCCAGGGGCACCCAATCCACTGGAAATCATGATACAAAAACACTTCATTCTCTATGGCTTTAGTTCTCCTCCTTTTTATATATCATACTTGTCTCTGTTAGACTGGACACATCTACTGAGGCGTCTCTAGAGTAAAGAAGCACGGACTAGGCACAGGGTTCATTCCTAGGTGTTGACGGTGGTGATTTTTCATCCTCTGCTCTAACAAAGCAAGGACAGGTATTGATTTCATATTTCTTTAAACTGGTGGGTGAAACATAAACATATTCAAGAAAACTCTTGATGTTTAGTGTTTCTCTAATAAGAAAAGGAAAGGAAAAGGAATTTGGGGAATAGGAATGAGAGAGGGAGGGGACGGGGAGAGAAACACTACTTACGCCGTTTGCAGCCACATTTTTTTATTCTTTTGGGATCTGTGATGTCATCATGACAGGCCTTGCAGTAAAAAAATGCCCTGGAAAAAGAGAATGGAAAAACTGACACATTTCATAATCCACCCAAATGAAATGAGTACCACATTTCCTCCACGGTGGTGCCAAATTAATGAAACACGCCAGCATTAATTTCCTTTAATCTTTTGAAAGGTTTAGACATTTGCAGTCGGAAATGTTTGTTGCAAGACCGTTTATTTCAAACACAGGATTCTGTGATTTGAGTTAGTGCTCCTTTTCATAAACTTCCATTTGCAAAGGAACTGGGAAAAAAGTTGCTGATGTGACACACTGCGTCTGCTCACTCGTCTTTCATTTTTGAGAACAGCCTTTGATGCTACTCGTGGGGACACGTGGGCAATGAGCCCTGGGCCCTTGGTGGGGAAGTTAAATACAACACCAAAAGTCCCACAGTCTGGTCAAATATATACTTGAGGGGGCAGAAGTATGTCGTTTCTCAGTCAAATGAAAATATCAACCTTGTCACTCTGAAAGCACCTTTTCTGGTCAGCCAAAGTGAGACAGAGTTGAGGAGGTCTGCAGAGAAGGAAAAACGAAAGCCACGAGTCAGTGGGTTCCTCTGTCAAACCCCCTCTGGAGTTTCATAGCTTATTTTACTCCAATGCTGACTGGACCAATTCCCATGCTATCCAGCCCTGAGAACATGCACTAAATGATGGTTTTCTTCTCACTGTGGCCTTGTCCTCCAGTTTCCTGGTCTGCATGTCCAGTGGGAGGAGTCAACAGGAGACTGTAGGGTGAGGGGGGATGAGGTCACCACCTTGACTCCCTGGGTGCCCTCCTGGCCAGATCCATGAAATGGCACATGACAGCCTCTCTCTCCAGCTCCTGATAGCCCTCCTTCCCCTTTACCCTACAGATCTAGGGTGAAGGTGGCTCCCCTTTCTTGCTAGCTCTGGAGTGTTTGGCCATCCCTTATTGGTTTTCCTTAACTATCTGCCCATAACTTTACACACTCTCTTCATAAAACTCTCCTCCTTTTTCCCATTTAAGTGTGTCATCTGTTTCTTGCCAGGACAAGAAACAGCACCCACATTTACATATTCATCTCCAATTCACACTTATCCCCAGAACTCCAGACTCTAAGATCCAACTGCCTTTATGATATCACTGTGTATATGTTTAGTACACATCTCCTACCTAACATAGCCCAGATGGAATGCTTAACTTCCTACTACCCAAAACTTGCTCCTTCTCTAGTATCCCTCATCTTGGTTAAGATCAACACAATTTAAGCCCTGACTCTAGCCTTCATCCTTCATTCCTCTTTTTTCCCTCACTTCTACCCAATTCACTGGGGGGTTCTGCACACTCTCCAAAATATAGTCTGAATGGGACCCACTTCTCTCCACCTCCACTCAGTGGTCAGTCCAAGCTGCCATCATCTCTCACCTAAACTGTGTAATAGGAGCTGAGTCTCTCACCTCTTCTCCTGCCCCATTCCTCTCATTCTCTACAATGCAGGAAGAATGACCTTTTCAAAATATACATCAGATCAGCTTAAAGCTGTCAATGATTTCCATTTTATAACAGATCCAACCTTTTTATAAAGTGCTTTAGGAGCCAGCCTCTGCCTCTCTCTAACCTCATCTCATACCACTCTCTCCAAATCTATTCCCTAGCCACACTTTCCTTCTTGGGGTTCCTACCCACAATGAACTTCTTCGCAGCCCATCTCCTCTTCCTATCTGATCCCTGCCTGATGGATTATTTAGCTTCATCTCAATCTCTGCTCAAATACCATCCCCTCTGAGAAGCTTTCACTTATACCCAACCCAAATCAGTGACTCAGTTGCATTAATTCTTTTACCATTAATTTAAAAAAAAAAAAAAACTGTCATTCTTTCCTGCCTAGAATATGAGCCCTGTGAGAGTTGGGACTTCTCCCATTGTTCACCACTGTTTCCCTGGTGCCTTGTGTAGAGCCTTCTAAATGTAAATGACTTACCCATACTTGAAGGGTGAATGAATGAGTGAGTTTGAGACTGCTTCCCAGTATTGTTAGGTCTGCCAATTTTTCAGGAGAAACGAGTAATAAGGATTTTTATATAAAAGCTTGTAACTTTTTTCACCTTGGCAACTCACTTATTTTTAAAAATTGTGACTCAAAAGAATCATATGTGCAAGCCAAATTGAGTCACTGAGCCACCGTTTTGTGACTCTTATACTAAAGTCTATGTTCCAATGTTATTTTAAAAGGAAAATATTTGGTGGCAAGGAGGAAAGAGCAAGTACCCAAATGTCCATCCTCAAGTGACCTTCTTAAGACTGCAGTGGGATGGTTTCACTCCTCATTTTCTAAAGCACTGCATCTGAAGCTTTCTATGAGCCAGAATTCATTAACTTCTTTTGCTGCTTTTTTGCAGTGGAGGGTGCAAACTCGATACTAGATCATCATAATCTACTTTTCCATTTTTACAAAACTTGTTTAGTTTCATTCAAATCTCCGATGTCCTTTCTGTGGTTTTCTGCAGTCTTCATCTATTTGAAATCCCCTAACTGACAGCATTTGCTTTGACACATCACACACCATGGAAAATTACAGGCTGGTGTTGTAGCTGATTGTGTCAGCATGTATTTGTGAATACCATAAAGCACTGAAATGAGACATATTGCACTCCCTAATATAGGAGGTAATTTGTTTTTTGGACGGCCTGGTATTTGTGACATTCATTAGTGAGAGATGCAATAGGAAATAGAATTACACAAATGGGAGTTTCATGTTATATTTGCTATCTGGGAGGTATACGTGATATATGGTGCTCCTGTGCTCCCCAGCCTCCTGTACTTGGTGCTGAGATGCTGTTTCAAGCTTTTGTGTCTCACAGTCTGGACAAGGGCACAAGCTTCTTCTCCAGGAGACCTGATTGGAGCACAGGGAGAGGGAAGGTTCAGTCCCATTCATCCTAATTTCCCTTCTCAGGTGTACCCAGTTCTCAGGATACTCTTGAACAACAGGGAGATTCCGTGAACTGAGTAGGGAGGTATTTTTCCCCTACAATTGAATCATGGCAATCTTTCCCCAATTTGCAGAAATAAATTTAAGTTATTAGAGAGCTCAGTTTAAGAATTCTTTTTTCTTCCACCAGCCCATATTTTCTTTTTCCTGAAAGCTTCTGTAGCCAGTATGGCTTAGTTTGCTAGAGTGGGTGGGGAGGAAGAGGACCCTAAGTATCCACGCTCACATGTCATTGTTCTGTGCTCAGGGTGTCAGGCTCAACCCAGGCAAATAATTAAGAGTGCAAGCTCTGGAACCGAACTTCCTGGCTTTATTCCTCACTAGCAGTATGGCTTTGGGCAAGTTAGTTAGCCAAGTTGTGCCTCAGTTTCCTCATATGTAAAGTGGGAAAGAGTAATGCTACCTATCTCATGGGGTTGCTGTGAGATTTTAACAAGTTTTAGATACAGAGAACCTAGTACCTAAAATAGTGCTGGGGTGTAATAAACCCTCCTTTGTAAGAATGTGGTAGTATTATTAAATTTGGTAGAAAGAGAGTGGGTTTTAGAAAAGGAAAGACCAGTTCCATTCTGGGCTCTGCCACTTACTTATGTGCCTCATGGCCTCGGACAAATCACTTATCTCAGTTTTACAGATGAGGAAACCAAAGCTCTGAGTGTTTAAGAAGACTTACCTTCCAGGGTTATTTTGAAGAGCAGCAATAAAGAATGTAGCACACCTAGCACAGGCCTGGCTTTGACGAGGAACTCATTCAATGAAGACCATAGGCTTATATAAATAATGATAGACCTTCACAATTAATAATGTACTTAAAATATTTTATGGAATATTACTCTTGAGCTGAATGACCTGTCTGAACATTTGCATCGCATTTTCTGCTAGTAAATTTATCCAAGTTCATAGGCTAGAATCAAATACAACAATATTCCATGTTGTGCTGGAAAGGACCTGGTGAATTCCTAGGCTGCTTAAACAGGTTTAAGGATACGAATAAAAATGTCATGAAACATGCAGGCCAATGAAATCCTGTGCTGTACTTCGAGTGGCTTAACAACTGAAACTGACAACTTCAGCCACTTACCTAGTAGGCCACAAACAGAAATAGAGCCAGTTTCATATTCTATCTGAAATTAATCCCAACCTTTTGAAATTCTATTTGGCAGGGACAGTAGAAAACTGATAATTCTCAAGTAAATTTCCCAGATAATATTAAGTAAAGAGCACTAGACAAAGAGTCAGTTGTCTTGTTATGTTGTTCTGGGTCATCAGGAATCAGGATGACCTTGAGCAGTCATTCAGCTCTCTAAGCCCCCATTTTCTCCCTCATAAAATGAATGAGCAGGTAACTAGGCTTCTTAGTTCTAAAATTTTATTATTCTCATTTAGAGATGTGGAATTGACTACATGAACAGGAGTCTGTGGAAGTTTTTCTTACACCAATTGATGGCCATAGATATGTTAAGGAGTTTTGGGGTTATGGAAGCCTGCCTACTTCCGTGGGTCAAGGTGTCTATGTCTGGGCCAGAAAGAAAGCCAGTTGAAAATAAACTCTTACCTTTTAACTTCTTTGGCATCACTTGCGATGAAAAATCCTAAAGTACCTTCTTGGATCTTAAGATGGTTTCCAGGATTAATTAATATACTGCTCAGTGAACAAAAACAAACAGAGAAGATACATTTGTGAGGTCGTGTTCTGAATAAAACCTCGAAGGCTACACCATACTGTTGTGTTTATAGGGGGCCCACTAGTCTAGAGCTTTCCCCAAAGATTTTGTCCAGAGCCCAATGCCCACTGCCCCATACATTTAGTTGGATAATGCCATCATTAAGCGCTACTGCTTACTTCCCAGGTTGGCATGCTCCCAGTTGAGGAAATCAAAGCAAATCAAAGTTTTAGGGCCTGGGTTTATATAATGGGGCAGTCTAGCTGCCATCATGGGCATATGATTTGAAGCAAAGTCCATCAGAATACATTCCTTTTGAAACTGCTATTGGTGGTCAACACAGAAGCATTATTGGCCTGATGAAACTATTGCTACAACAATTTTCCATTAAATGACAGAGCATTAATGGGACCCCTATATGTATACATAAACATACATGTACACACACCACATATTACCACGGGGAATGGTACAAGACACCTGTAACCAATGCAGAAGGAAACTGAACGTCTTCATGACATTGATAAGGACATGGAAATTGATTCTATGTACAGCCTTTATAGGAAGAATTGGATTTACCCAAACAGTTTTTTTTTTTTTTTAAGTTAGCAGTTGGATATACTTAACGATTCCAGTCTGCTGTTTATAAAAACTTACAGGGTGTTTGAATAAGATGTGTGTCTAGCATGTCCTAATTGAGGCAAATTGAGAAAACAAATGCAAACCACCCCTTAAAAAAACTTGCCCTGCAGAGAAGTGGGAACCTAAATATACATTGTCCTATTTCAAAGTGGCGTAAATAGATTAGCTGGCCAAGATGTGTTTGGACTGACAGAAGAGATAAATGTATCCTAATCTAATAAATGGATGAAACAAACAAGTTTAATTTCTGCAGATCAAAAGCAGAATACAAGATTGTCTGATGCACAGACTGAGAAGAGACTTCAGGCTTAATGGATACTGAATTTAGGGACTCCGAATGAAGCAACAGAAACAGCAGAGGTACTCCTTGTTCTGAAAAGATGTTGCTTAATAAGGTAATAGATATTTGGAATCAGTCTAAAGGAAGTTCTCAGGTGCCCCAAACAATCAAAATATAGAGGATGGTAATTAACACATAATCTTTTTTTCTACTGGTAAACCATTTCAGAAAAGTGTTGTGGTCAGTGAAGTGATATGTCTGTAGTCATACAGGAAGGACACAGGTGAACCTTTGTTCACCTGGTTGGGAGACCTCTGAGCAGACCATTATTGCAAAATAATTGTCTGTGGTCACAAGAACATCCACCATTACTTATAACAAGACCTGACAGGAGGAAACTGTACTTGTGTCATGGCTATCATTAACACTCAATAATATCAAAAGGCTATGAAGATTTAACTGTTCAGCCCTACAACCACAGGCAGCAATGAGATTCCTCCCAAATCAGAGAGCAGCAGTCCACACTAATAGCACGGCCTGCACTGAGCAGTGGCTCTCCATAAGCACCTCCTAATGACCCCTCCGCCAACTCTTCACATGGGTATAATGAGCCCTCTGACTTCATGCAATCACGAGGGCGAAGTGTCAGAGCTCATACAGTTTAGATGAATTTATCTTTCAAAGCCAATTCAGTATGATGTTTTAGAAGGGCAGGATTCTAAATTTCGCACATTTTTTTTTTTTAACCTCCTTTCCTGCAAGGCAGTTTTTACATGCCTTGGCTCTGCAATCAGAATTTGGGTCCAAATTCCAACGCTACCCCTTAATAGCTGTTTGACTTTGGGCCAGTTACTAAATCTCCCTAGAACTCAACTTTTTTACCTACAAGAGGTGGATAATGGTAATAATAGTCTTTAGAGAATTAAGTGAGATGATGTATAGAAGGCTCAATGCATGTGAGTTATTGTTCCTTTTCTTAATTCTTGTAAAGAAAAGCCAAAGTGTATTTCATTTTCAACAAAGTTATCAGAGATTTTCTCTAGCTGACCCCATGGAATATAATACAGGCTTCTTATCAAAATGCCTTGCCCATTAATGAGATTAAATTATAGGGTAAAGAACTATACACTACAGAATAATGTATAAGGACTTACACAAAATATTCCATGCACTTCTGGAGCCTAAAGGAGCTAGTTCCTTAGAGTTATAAAAGCCTACATTTTGACATTATTCATATAAAAAATGCAAGAAAAAATTCTGAATGGAAAAAAAATCCTATCATGATTTGAACAACAGAATTCAAAAGGAAAAATCTGACCCACATCAAAGTCTTGGTGACATATATGAACCAAATAAGCATCACATAGAATGCTGTTTCCTTTTTTCATATTATGTGTTTCATTATTCTTTATCAACAATGAACAATAATTAGCCTACAGTGAACATTTAGAATTGGCATTGTAGAGAGTGCAGGTTGAGATAATTTATTATAGCCTTTGAGTTTGCTTTAGTCCAGTTAGTGCAGTGGAGAAGAAAGATTTGGGGCTCTGATGTAAAGAACATTTGTGTTTCAGGTTTGCTGCTGATGTTGGTTAAGGGTTCAGGCACATGACTCAGGTCTCACCTCTTTGGTCCTGGCTTTATAAACGCAGGTAAGCCTCACACTTCTCATCTGTAAAATGGGTGAATAATCGCTAGCTTACAACGTCTCTAAGAGAGTTAAAGAATGTACTATGTGCAACATGACTGACACATAGAAGGTCTTAAATTCATAGTTGCTACTCTCAGTGAATTAGGTGATTATAAAACTGAGAGGTAAATAAATGCTCACAGCACCATTACTCTCCACTTTGTCCTTGCTGCTAATAAATGACCCAGGAGGTGCCCTACTGTCATTGGAAGACTCTTCCACTGACTGCAAGGAAATCCAAAACATTTTATCCCTGCACAATATCTAGTGGTCAGCTAATTTAGACTGACTTTTGTCTGCATAGAGAAGTATCCTCTGTTCCTTAAATCTATGGCTGATTGTGTAAGGAACCAAAAGCATCTCTAATTGCCCCACAGGTCATGTGGATTCCAGGATGCCCTCTTATTCCCTGTGAACAGGGGTGAGGGGGGTTAAACCATCCCCATGTGAGATGTGAGGCAGAACCGTTTGCAGATACTCAGCTAAGGCTTAGGCAGCCTTCTGGGTGGGAATCTAAAGAATGGACCCAGCCCTTGAAAAAATGAAAGAAAGAAATCTAGATACACAAAGATGCTCTTGGTGCTGAAGCACCAGGAACTACATTACTGGTTTTATATATATATATATATATATATATACTTATTTTAGACATTAAGTCTTCTATACACATTCCAAATCTAGAAAGTTTAAATAAAATGCGAATCCCCCTCTTCTTCAAAATATAAAAAGACAAGGATTTTGGATAGTAGTGACTTTCTCCCCCTTTTGCCTACTATCTTTAGAATTTGTTATTGACCTTCTAATAGGAATACATAAATTTTTCCAAGGATCTCTGATCTCTTTAGGAGAGTATCCAATGTTAAGTTTGTTTTGTTTTAATGACTGCCAACAGTCTCTCTCCCTGTGCACCACTCTAAATCAGTTCTCTGGCTCCAACTTTATGTAATTCACTAGTTTATCAGAGATAAACTTCAACATGTGTCATGTGAAGAATCATGAAAATCTCTAAGAGAAAAAGCCCATATATCCATTAACAGAATTCCAACAAGGACATCTTGGCAGAGGTGGACTTTCCCTCATTTCAAGGAATATATAAATTATCCTTTCTTCTTTGACCTTACTGGTTTCAACAGAAAACATCCAGTGACAGCTGGAAGCACAGGGCTAGTGTGGTCCCTTCTTCAAGGATACTTGCTGTCTCTGTTTCTTTTGCTCTCAGACTAGTTTTCAGTCTCGACTTATTGTGTGTTTACTCACCTCCTACATGGAGCAAATACGTATTTTCTGTAAGGAACCCACAGTTGAGTAGAAGGGTACAAAACATGATCACATTCTGTTTACCTTTGAGTTTTTTGGAGTAGCAGGCTTAGAGCATTGTATGCAACAGGCACATTTCAACTATTGGTTGAATGAATTAAAAAAATAAGTTTTTAAAACCTCAGTCCCAGAAGTTTTCCTTCTTCACAAATAAGTGGAAAGGAGGTCACAGTTTTCTTTCAAAGAACAAGCTACAGTTCTCATCAGTCAGGCTGATTAAAGGAGTGACCACACCTCTGCTAGGGCTAGGGGATTGGCCAATGAACTAGCAATCTCTCAGAGGCATTAAGTATGAATATGTAAATATCCCAATATGTAAACAGTGTGCCCCTTGGGAAGTTGGAGCAATTGATTTCAACATTGAAAGCAAACCTTCAAAGAGAAATATGGGTTCCTACACATAAAACACATCTACATGCAATTGGCTAACGGAGCTCAGTCCCATGGGGAAATGTCTCTATCAGGTCCCTCCATGAGAACAGCACCATGTCTCAAGTTGTATCACACTTCATCGGGTATTTCTTGCTAAACACTGGGTCAAGTTGGAAGACTGCAGCTTGATGGAGGAAAGAAACGTATTCCTTTCTCCACCACTTGTGCATAACTGGGAGACATCTAGTTTTGTCTTCAATCATTGTAAACTTTACTTGTTTCCTGTTTCTGGAGACAGCCAATGATTGGTAATTCAACTGAAACAGATATTGTTTAAGGAAATGTCTATCCATTACAGGTAAATATGATAGATATATATTTCTCTCCTCTCCCTTTCATTTTTGGTAGGTGTAATGTACCATTCCTCAGGCAATTTAAAAAAAAAAAGCATGACTCATATGAGAACATAGTTTGTACTTGATAACGTAGTAATTATATTTGTGTCTAGCAAGCTAATGGGACTTCATTAACTAAAGCAAGCAAATAAGAACCATCTAGGGTTTCCATTCATGCTATGCCCAGATGAATCACGCCATTGAGAAGAGGCTTCTTTGATCACACAAGTTCATATACAATGACTCTCAGTTGGAACTTTGTTTGAACCAATTGTGTCCCCTCTCAGGGAGTATGACTGCATTTGTAGTTTATAGGCCATGTGCAGGCACAGTTTGGAGAAACCCCACATCTCAAATCTTATCACCTTTCTGGAACTTTTCATTTTTTCTGGGCTTTAAAATATGTGCTGCTGGAGTCCCACACAACTAGACACACGCACTTTTACTTTTGGATACCATTGGAGACACACTTGTGTATTTCATGTGTCAATATACTTAAGCCCAGTTCACTCACACACAGACAGCATGATAAAGATTGCTCCCAGTTGGTCAGACTCAAATGACTGCCACTGTCGTCCACCAGAGATACTGGTGAGGACTTACTCAGCCTGCATCTATCTCGATAACTTTAGAAATGGCATTTTCAAATATATTTTGCATATACAAAAAATATTAGCCATATGGGATGGGGAAGAAAGAGGTGATCTAGAAAGGATAATGCTGGATATTTGGTTCTGGGAGCAAGCCAAATCATTTTCTGGTATACTTAGGACAAGTCATGCCTACATCACAACATGCCTTCACCACAAGATAAAAGGACTCAAAGGCCAAAAGCCAACAGCAGAGGTGCAACCACTGTGGACCTTTAAGATGCAAAGTGTTGCAGTAACTTCTCGCAGTTGGATCATATCAATAATGCCAAACTGACAGGAAGCCACCTCTATACACATGTACTCCAAAAATCACAGAAGAATCAGATTTTGGAAAGAGATACAGACAAATACACACACACACACACACAACTACAAACACAAACACATGATAGTGATTACAATCACGGACAAAAGTAACTTGAAAAGATGAACAAGTAGGCATCTCAAGAGTATGTTTTCAACAATATTGTCTTAGAGAACACATTATTGAAAAGCTGTCCTGGAACTATTAACCCCAAAGTTTTTTTTTAAAATGCCCTTGATGATGATTTAGTCATGCTTCATGCAATGTAAAACAGCAGCAAAACAGGGTGAAATCACATGGTGAAATTGAGAAGCTTCGTATTAAGAAATATGCCCAAACACACTAGGAAAAAAAGAGCCATGAGTTTGTCTTAATAAACAGTACTAACTCTGTAAATCAAGTGTGATAATCTGGCAATTTAATAGCAGTGTTCTAAGTCTATACTGAGCACTGCCTGAGAAATAAAATATTCAAAATGTTATCACCAAAATAAATGTAAGGAAAAATCAAAGTGTAAGGGCTTGGTCTCTGCTTTGTGGATAAAAGGACATGAACTCTGCTCTACAGACAAGAAACTCAACACAGGGAGGAGGAGGTCACTGGGAATGTGGATGTGGTATGTAGACAAAATGGCGCCAGAGTCCAATGGACACCAAGACACATCAGAACAATACAGAAACAGACACAAAGGGCTGGAGAGAAGCATCCTCCTGTTCAACTTTCATAGTATTTGTTCCCATTATTGGTGCCATGACTGAAAACAGGAGTGTGCCTTTCCTTTTTTAGGTTTCCTGCAAAGAAGTTAGTGCGTCATCCAAAAGAACCAACAAATCAAACAGGAACAGAAATAGGCTACTTCCAATGTATGTACTTTAGTTGGAGAGGGGTGTATATATATGTATATATATACACACACACATATATATAATATATATACACTAGACAAGGGAATGAGATTATATATACATATATATAATCTCTCTCTTCTTGAATTCTTGGCAAATGGTTAGTCCTGTGGTTAGGAGTGAAGATAGAGGGTGGAGGTTGGAAGAAAAGTTAACGAAGAGTGCATACCGCTTTCGGCTTCTGCAAAACGACAAGAAAAGAATTTAAAATCAAACAATTTGATAATAAATTGACTGACACCAAAAGGAAAGAAGGAATAAAACCTTTGTTTCAAATCACTTGAAGGATGCATGTGAAAACAAGGTTTTTCGGCAAAGCATGAAAACAGTATCATGGGGTGAAACCAACAACAAAGAAGGTAGTTAAACACAGGTTAAAGAAGGTGGGAAGGAGAAGCAGGTCCTTTGAATTTTCACACCCAGTCGGTTAGAAAATGTGAGAGGAAAAGAAGTGGGACATTTTAAATGAAGAAGAACATTAAAATTATTATCTCAGGGAAGATTTAAAAAAATGTTTATCTTTAACATGGATATTGTGTTTGATAAGTCCTGTGTTTTCTCAGAGGCATGATCCACATTCCCTCAAACACACCTTTTTCCACAAGAACCAATGTGCTTCCACACTGAGACCAAGCCACATTTGAGAATTAAAGCTGGTAACTGCGCAAAGAAAGCCCAAACAAAGCCAAACAAGTCCTTTTTGCCCTTTTCTGAAAAAAAAAAATTAAAAAAAAATATATATATACTAAAAATTATATCTATAAATATGGCTTTGTTGAAAACATCTCAGAATTGTGACTTAATTGAAGGGCCTATCCAAGAAAAGTTTCGTCTTCAGGGAGTGCTCTGAGTTAGTTTTCTTAGAAGAGTGACATTGAGTTCACGATGAACCATTAACAGCCTTTCGCTCTTTTTCTCTCCTTGGGACCAAAAGGCAATGAATGAGAGACAACTGCTCAAGGTTCAGGGTGCAATCTCTGCAGTCAGATTATTCCAGAATGGTAAAAACACTATTCAGCATCAACGTCACCCACATCACGACCTTTTTTTTTTTTGAAAGATGCACAAAAGTAAATAGAGAACATCGAGTTACACCAAGATTTGCTGACTTGGCAACACGGAGAATATCATTTGCAAAAATCCAGGATACACACAGTTCCCCTACACAGGTACAAGTGAATATTGGCAAAAACATGGGTAAACAGTAATCCCAGAAAATTCCACCTCATCTGCTGAACAACAAATAACCAGGACTCTCAGTTTTTGCAAACAATATTCTTCACGTTGCCAACATGAAAAAGAAAATATTTATCTACCTACATACTTGTTAACTGCTACAGCCATGTTCTACATATGGCCACCAAATCTACCATTTTTTCTTCCTTTTGGTTGATTTGGGTTTTCAAAATAGCTTAACATTTAATCAGATTGACTTTGTGAGCAATCTGATCTGGTAGTTAACGTAACAGAAAACATTGGATTGATCTGTTTACAATCCAGTGTTTTCTTTTCTTCTGTTTTGCCTTGTCATAGACACAGACTGTACATTTGAAAGTCTGGCTATATTGGGTTATTCACCCAGATAAGGAAAACTCCTTAAATGATGATAAAAGGAAACTTCTAGTCTTCCCCTGCACTCTGCTCAGGTATTAAGGTATTTGTTGGAGGGATCTGCACTCTACATTTGGGCATCTGCAGGATCAAAAAAATGAACTATAAGGAATAGACTATGGGTGTCATTTCACAGAACAAAAGCTTGAGCATTTATCAATGAGCTCTCTTCCAAAACTATTGACAAGAATTGGGAAGCAAAAAAATCATCTCTATTTTATCTGTAAGGCATACAGTACTCCATCAGCAAAATTTCTTGTTAGCATGATGCTTCCCACCTCCAGCGTGAACTCATATATTGACTGGGATGTTATCTATTTCAACCAGACACAGTCCCTCATCAGTCTGATTTGCACACAATTAAGTGTAAAATAAATAAATAAAGAGAGCTCCTGCCTCTGAGCCCCACTCTCCTGGCTCATTTACATGAAGCTGATATTCTGCCACCTGGATTTTGGTTGCACCGGGAGAAGCACATATGGTACACAATAGGCTGCTTGTAATTTGGCTATCAAGAGAGCTGGTGTCTCCCCTCACAGCTCTACCCCAAGGCTGCTGTAAAGGAGGCCAGAGTCCACCTGCTTTTTTGCTCACAGCAGTAAAAAAGGGTTTTAAGGTCTGGTTTAACACTTAGAAGGTGAAAAGTCCAGGTCGGCATGATCAGCTGGAGATATTTTGTAGGACTCATCCCTCTTCCCTGGAGAAACACTCTCTGAATGCCCAGCAGGGCTTTGGATGCCAGGCTGGTCTGGCATAGAAGCTGCAGTGTCCGGGGGACCCTCGAAATGTGCTCTAGGGTCAGAGAGGTGTTACATCTGGTTCCATGCAGATAAATAATTCACAAGAAAGCAGAAGTAAACCGACCGTTCTCAGAATGCACTCTCACCACCAAAAGTGTCAGCCGGCCGCTGGGTCACCGCAAACTTACCGGCTCTCTCGGTTGGCAGACTTGTACTCAATGGCTATCATTAGGAGCTTGAGCTTCACAAAACACAGCCTGCAATGAGATGGAGAAGCCTCCCAATCAGTGCTTCTGAATGACCAGAGCCACATAACAAACACTATTACGATCTTTCAGTCTCCTAATGCAGTCATTATCGGAGGGGGATCCTCATTCCACCGGCACTGTGCCAAAGGGAGGGGTGGAAGCAACACCTCCCCATCTTCCTTGTTAAACCTGATTTCTTGCAAGTGATAAGGTGCTGGATGCTCAAAGTGCAAATTGCACTCAGGTCTGGCTGTCTAGACACAGAGCCCAAGCAGGGATTTGTGCCTGGGGATTTACACGGGGCCAGATTCATTAGTTACTCGGTCGGGTAGTAAAATGTTAACTACAGGGGGAGGAAAAGATTTGGACCAGCTGGACCTGTTATTTGGATTCCATTTCAGTCTTTTGTAAAAATGGCTCATATTGTTGTTCTGAACAGACCCCTGTGTGCTTGGAATGATGGTAATAATACTTGGCCTCTGTGTAGGTGCCCAGCACATGACGATGGCATCGTCACTCCTGGCTCCATCCAAGCTGTCTCACCTCATCTGCCTGGTGCTCTTGACTGCAGAGCAGACTGCTTTAAGGCTGGCTTGTTCCTGTTTCCATCCCTTCCCTTGTGCATCCCCCGCTCCCCATCCCTTCTTCTCTCTTCCCAACCCATCCTCCCAGGCCACATCAACTCTAATCTTCCAAGTAGTAGGTCTTCTCCAGTTTCTGCTACCCTGTGATTTTCTATTCTCAAAACTCTCCCAGCACCTTGTCTGTAACCAAATCACTGAGCCTTTAGTGAATTTTATACTGGCTATGGTCGCTCCCTATTGTTTCGTGACTGAACTTTGTCTCCTTAACCAGAGCAACTTCCTTAAGAGTCCTGAACTTGTTTGGAATTCTCCACAGTGCATAGTGAATAGACACACTGATACAGAGAAGCTAAACAAACAAATGGTTTCCATTTACTGGGTTTCAAATCTAAGAAAATAACAAAAGGTGCAGTAAAATGTTTATGCTTAAAGATGTTCAGAGTAAGTATTATTTATATAGAGTAGAAAAATAGAAAACAACCTAAATGTCCAATAATAAGGCAATAAAGTACGATGCAATATGGTATTAGCATTCTAAATGGCTTTTCACAGAATATTGCAAGATATAAGATCAACAAATAATATTATACAAAAAGACATGAACATGTAAATAGAACAAATATATAAAAAGACATGAACATGTAAATGATACAATACAATTAGATGAAACTATACACTTACATACTTATAGAATAAAAGCTCACATAAACAAAATAATTATACATGATGGACGACAAGTTTCTACAATGAGCATTACCATTTTGAATAACAGAACATTGATTAACTGACAGATTGAACAATGAGTTGATGCTTATTTATTCAGCTCCAGCATTGTAAGGGGGATAAGGTACTGGGTCACAATGTGGGGAGGGCTTCCTGGTGGTTCAATTTAATCCCCTCAATATCCCTAAGAGAAAGCTATTACCCCAATTATTCAGACTTCTATTGATAGCTCCATTTTACACGTGATGAAACCAAGGATCAGAAAGTCCATGTAACTTGCCTAAGGTGTCTAGTTGATACCTGGCAGGATACACTACATCTCGATCTCCAGTGAAGCCTATTTTGTATTGGGAGAGACAGACAATAAGCAAATATACAAGTGAAGAAATAATAAATTCCTAGATGATGACAAGTTCTATGTTGAAAATAAAATAACCTAAGAATATAAAGAGTAACTCACAAGAGGTATATCATCTGTGATGGTTCAGGAGGACCATTCTGAGGATGCAGGGAGCACAACAGCATGATGAGAAGATATGGGGAAAGAGCTTTCTAGGAAGCAGAAACAGCAAGCATAAAGGCCCTGAGGCAGCGAAGAGCTCTGGGTGTTTGAGGATCAGCAATAAATCCAGTAAGACTGCAGCTGAGTGAGCAAAGTCAAGTGTGACAGTGATTAGGTCAGGAAATGAGGTGGGAACAAGATCATGAGGTCTTTGCTTTCCAGAGCAAGGAGTCTGCAGCTTATTATAAGTGGAATTGGGGGATTTTAGTTGGTTTAAAATAGAAAAGTGACATAATCAGATGTGCTGGATATGGGGATGTGTTGCTTTCAAGGAAAGTACTGCTGAAGGCTTCATGCTCTCCAGGGAGTGAGATCAATTGCTCATTCCTACATGTGAGGTTGTGGTCCCCAGCAGTGCCTTCAGCAGACAGTCAGATGTCAAAGGACCATTTCTATACCGGCATATCTGGGATCTTCTGTGATTTGCAGGTTTTCTGATTCCTGCCAGAAGATTCCAATGACCTGGGCTTTGTGCTGATTGGGCAGCTTGCTGAAACACCAACACACATATCCAACTACAGTTGGAAAATGCCTTCCTTAATTTATGTCCCAAAGAGCACTGCTAACGTGCACCCTTTATGGGACTGTTACTTCTGGAACTTAAATTGTTTTTAAAATATATATATAGCTTATGCAATGTTTATTGAACCACATTACCAAATTAAGTAACCACTTTCTAATGTAAATAGTAGTTAAATACCAAAACATCAGGGAGAAGGCTGATCTTAAACTTAGTATGGATCGTGCAAAGGTTAATTTGCTAATATCCTATGAGCAATGACCAGTCCAATTTGGGACTCTGGTAGTTCATGGGATCAAATATCTTCATTGCTTTTGTAAACCTAATCCCACTGGTAAGAAGGGAAGTAACAGTTCATAGTAATGGTGAATTATGTCTTCCTAGTTACTACAGTACCATTTACCAACTGGATATAAAAAGAAAAGAGTTTCCTACTACAAGAAAGTCCTAAAATCTATCTGGCCTTGTATTCATTCCTTAACCTTATACAGGGTGGTCCTGCAGATCTGAGTCCTCTTCCAGTTTTAAATCCATAATGTCAAAACATTCAAATCCATACCTAAGATGATTCTACAATGCCTTATAGAAGTCCCTTTTTAAGAAGTCCTTTGACCCAAAACAAGCTGTTGCCCACTGGCCCAAGGAAAGGAGAGGGATAGAATGATTTGAACAGAGAGAACATAGGCAAGCCGTGCCACAACACAGATTTTCAGATTCAAGCCCTTCAAGATTGGCCGATCCTGCCCTTCCTAGGCAGATGACAAACTGAGGTCCAAACAGAGGAGAGCAACTAGGTCAAGGTCAATTGACTTTTATGTAAAACGCCAAAAGTAGAAATCAAGTCTTTGATGCAATGTGCTGCACAGATGCTTCCCATCAGAAGAGAGGAAATGTAGTGGCAGTCACAAGCCCAACAGGCAGACACATTCTGTTTGGTAAGTACAGTGTTTTTTAAAAAACTGTAAATAGATGCCAACAAGTGAATTCACATAAAAACTGGCTTTTCAGCTTTCCTTGAAAAATCAGATACGGCTACATTGGCACCACATTCCACATGGTGAAAAGGGTGTGAAGCACTTATCCCTCTGGATGGGATGTTTGTTCTCCAATGTGCCACAGTCCCCACCACTCTCTATTGTCTCAGATGGCCTCACTCTTCATTCTTTGTTGCTAACTGCCTGAACCTTACAGGTAGCTAAGTTTTTAATCCCTACTATAATACGTATCCTCTGGATATTGCAGAATACAAATCAAGTATAATAAACCATGATTTACACTGGAAGCAGAGCTATGGCTCCCTCTGTGAGTGTTCAAATCACACTTTTTTGTTAGATCCTGCCACAGAGAGTTGGCCAATGTCACAATCCTGGGCTTAAGGACTACATCCTGTTGTAGAGATGTAGCCTCTATTGGAGGTGTCCAGTGGGGAAGAGCAGAGCAAGCTGAGTGAACAGGAGAGCTGGTGTGGTAATGACTTGTTTACTTATCTCTTCCCTCTAGACTGAGTTTTTCCTGTACAGAATGCATGCTTTCCCTCACTAGCATTTTGCAAAGTTCAAAGTGTAAGCCTTCAGTAAAGGCTGGATAAATAAATGCATGTATGAATGGGGAGTAAACCTCATGAGTGGCTGGAGAGATGGAGAAAAGATAAAGTGGCAAACTAGGAAACTCTATGCAGAGAAAGCTTGGAAGTCAGTACAGAATCATGAAACAAGCTGCTTCTTAGCTTGTCTTATTTGTTAGAAGTGGACAGATGGGAAAGGAAGGATACAGAAGGAAATAAAAGTAGTGATATGCTCTGGGAATCTAATTTTTGCCTTCAGTCCACAATGCCAAGATGCAAGTCCAATTCTAAAATACAACAATTTGTCCTTGGGACCTTCTAGAGACCCTCTTATGCCCTTATGTACCCCTTACATTTTCAAGAACATATATACTTTCAGTCTACCCAGAACTGATGTTCTCTGGTTAAACATTTACTCGCATCACTCAGCACCATTTTTTGGTAAAGAAGAATGGGCATTAGCCGTCTAATCCTTATTCTAATTCTGCCTTTACTCAACTTACAGTGTTTCAACATTTACAGGATTGGTGTGAAATCAGGAAGCAGGGTGAGGTGAGGTAAGGGGAAAAAAGGAAGCAAGAAAGCCTTCACTATGTGATAAATGGGATAAAATCAGCCATAAGCTAGCAATAATTTAATTCTTGGTTTCTAAAATAAAATGCCCCAATATGTCCAACGCAGGAAGCTGTTGCTGGTTGCAAAAATAATTACAGGGGAATAGAAATGACTTCTTTTTTCAAGAAAAAATGCCACTTGTCACAAAAAGGTCTTAAGCCCGCAATCGGCAATAAAACTGTTGTAATAACAAGTTAGATTGCTTTCTTGATAATTATTAAGTAGAGGTCTACCAAATTTGACAACGACATTATACAAAGCCTTTTTTTTTTTTTTTTTTTTTTTTTACTGCCAACATCATCTGTTAACTACAGTAGTTTCAACCCAGATGTTCCTGAACAAAGGCTCTTAAGAATTAGAGTCCAACTGTTTCTGCCTACCCAGAGGGAAATAAATTGTTCTTGCCATTAAATCAGCCCCCTTGACTGGAAAGATTACTTG